ATGTCAACCACCTTGACTGTTTCAAGTGAATCATCAGCTTCACTCCGAAAACAATGCCTGCCTCAGTCTCTCTCCTGCTCACCGCCCAAGCTACCCCACGTTGGTCCCGCCCAGTCTGGCACCCCGGGTGCCATTCTGCCGCTTTTCAACCTCAAATTCCACCACCAACACCAAACCACATCTCGCCAAACTGCCGCACACAGCAGCACCAATCTACACCTGACAACCATGGCGCCTCATCCGGACCACCCTCCCGCTGATGCGGGTCCAGCCGAAGTCCGCAACGAAGTCAAAAAGCCCAAGAAGAAGAAGGTTCTCCTCATGGGCAAATCTGGATCCGGCAAGTCCTCCATGAGGAGCATCATCTTCAGCAACTACATTGCCCGGGATACTCGACGACTGTAAGCTCTCCCTCCCTCCGTCCCTGCCAAGGGGGCCCTCTAGCCCTTCCACTCGGTGACTGAAATTCGAAATGTACCTCCCCAACAGCGGCGCCACCATCGACATCGACCTCTCCCACGTTAAGTTTCTCGGCAACCTCACCCTCAACCTCTGGGACTGTGGCGGCCAGGAAGCCTTCATGGAGAACTACCTCTCCCAACAACGCGTCCACGTCTTCTCCAACGTCGGCGTCCTCATATACGTCTTCGACATTGAATCGCGCGACGTAGACCGCGACCTGGCAACCTACGTGTCCATCCTCTCCGCCCTCCTGCAATACTCGCCCGCCGCCAAGATCTACATCCTCATACACAAGATGGACCTTGTCGTCCCCACCGCCCGCGAGACCGTCTACGACGAGCGCGTGCGCACCGTCAAGCAAAAGACCACCGAGTACATCAACTCTGTTGGCGGAGACGCGAGCACCGTTGAGCTCACGCCCTTTGCAACATCCATCTGGGACCAGAGCCTGTACAAGGCCTGGGCATCCATTATCCACGACCTGGTGCCCAACCTGGCCGTCATTGAGCGCAACCTCGCCAATCTGGGCGTGGCAATTGAGGCGGAGGAGCTGCTGCTCTTTGAGCGCACGTCCTTTCTGGCAGTCTCGTCGTGGACGTCCACCGAGGGGCGGCGGAATCCGACAGAGGATAGGCTGGAGCGCATGTCGAACATCATGAAGCATTTCAAGCAGAGCATTTCGCGCTTTACGGGAACGTCTAGGAATGCAGAGCAGTTTATTCGCATGGAGCATAAAGCGGGCACGCGCTTCAACTTGTTCATTTTGAAATTCACGACGAATACGTATCTCATGGTGGTGCTTCCCCCGGGTGAGGCTAGATTCAATGCGGCAATGCTCAACTGTCAGATTGCGATTGAGCATTTCAAATTTCTGGATGGCCCGGCTCCACACGCCGTAACTGCGACGGTCGTGCCTCCTGCGTCGTCATAGAAAAGGAGAAATCGCCAAGGCTAAGGAATTCTATTACAATAACGCATAAGAAGCGATAGCTGGGTTCAGTCTGGAGTTTTGGAGCGATGATACCAATTGGTCTGTTCACGCGGATTTGACATGAAATATCGAAAGGCATTTATGACTATGTACAAATTTTTAATGGCTTTGATTCTCATTCGAGATCAGAAAGACTTGTTTATCGTGGGCAGCTTCTTCGCCCTGTATTGATTTGCATGTTCCATATTTACTAATGTAGGCTGTTGTATCAGCCACCCCTCCGTTCCGTTCCTGTTTTTTACTCGGTACTTATTGCCGGTTCGGAAGTATCTATAATCGTTACTCTAAGTCCATTTGACAACAGCTGTTCCGCCCTTTTTGAATTCCGCCATATCACCCAGTACCAAGTCTTTATTAGTATGTTCCTTGTTCGGGAAGGTCGTGGCGAGGACCCACGATCTAGTTCTAGTCTCTGGCGACGCCCCCTGCACAAATCCATAGACATCTCCCACAGTATTGGTGGTATTAAAGCGAGCTGGGAGTCGCGTTCCGTCTGGCATCTGAATTCTGATCATGACAGTAGGCTGTGAAGAGTCGATGGATGGCTCCGGGTTTGCCGACGCTGCTGCTGCTGATGAGGCTGCTGCTGTTGTTGTGGAAGCAGCTGGCGGAGCGGGAGTACCAACGCCAGGTACAGGACTTCCCAGACGCTGACCTGTTCCAGAGAAAGGTTTATACTTCTTGGGCGGTGGCTTGTAAAGGGTTTCGTGCCGATGCAGCTTGACGTCGACTCGCTGATCATGTTGGACATTCATCAAGTGTAGCGGAGCGCGACCTGATTTTATCATTTGCAAATCCGCTTGATTGGCTGGGTCGTCAAATCGTCGAAGCTCCCCATCATCAATGCTGAAACCGTCCTGCCAGATGTGTAGAACGCGCTCCTCAGGCTGGGCACTGGATGTAGGAGCAGCGCCCAGAGGATCAGGAATCCTGCGGCTTTCAACGCCCTCACCGCCCAGTGTGACGCCAGCACCGCGGAAGCGCGATGGACCAGACGGACCAGGTTCGTCCACAGACTGATTGGGGCGGGATGCATTGCTGCAGTACATAGTTAACCACGTGTACTTCTTCCATCTCTCGACAGCACAGTCAACTCACGCTTTCGCCTTGGCCAGAATATCATTGATGATTTTTTTTTGGCTACCTTCTTGGTGCGGGTCCTGTACGGCAAGTCCAGATTTCTCACCGCCAGCAAAAAGATTGCCACGGCCCTCATCATCATCATCGTCCTCGTCGTCGTCATCGTCGTCTCCGTCGTCATCGTGGGAATGGGCACCGCCACCAAGAGACCCTAACGTCGCAATGCCTTTCCTCTTGGGTTGTGACGTAGTCTGAGGGCCTCCTCTGCTAGACGAAGCGGCGGCGGGAGCAGGCCGCCCGTCGAGCGTACGAGGTCCAGTATACGCGGACTCGGGCATTGAGTCGCCCGATCCGCTTTGCATCCTCGCTTCGTCATCGTCCTGGAAAAAGCTGTTGCAAGCGGCCAGAAGATCCCATTGATTGGCATCGAGGTATTGTGTTGCCTGACAAAGACGTTAGGTCACTATTCTTGACAGCAAGAAGATTCCCAGCTGTAGATGCCATACCTGCTCCGGACTGCAGTTGCACATGGCTATAAAGTCTTGGACAAGCTTCTCCCGGTTGGGAGTGTCATGGTTGTCAGCCATGGTATAATGACGTGCCCAGAGCGCGGGGCAACTGAACAGACAGAAGTCGAGGAGGTGAAATTATCTTGCGATACCCCTTCTGACGAATACCTGGGTTAGAACACGACTGGTCGATATATTGGTAGCCAAGGCTGTCCTGTGAGATAGAGAAACGTATGAAGGGTGATGGAAGATGACAGAACTAAGCTGTTTGTCAATGGGCGGCAGGCAGCGGGACTCTCGTCATGACTCTGGCCTTGTCCCGCGTCGTACCCCCAGAAGCCCATGCCAAGTGGCGCGACCCCACATGTGCTCATACACATGCGCGTTTGGCCACCTGCCAGTTGCCAGGCGGCCACCGAGCACGGCTCCTCTGCTTAGTCACTCAACAGTTCTCTCTACACCGTACTTCGTGGTCCGTACTCGGTACTCGTAGATGAGATCGCGCACTTCCGACCTGCGAGGCGTACCCCAACAGCACCGAGTTGCTGCCCACGGATTCTTCATCCATCGCCCGCAGAGCCGACATCTAGCCTACTCGCACTGGCAGAGACGGCGGCACGTCCAACGAGAGTCTACCACTGACATAGACGAGGTCAACCGCCTACAATGGCCTCAGAAGATCCATCAAGTCACCTCGCCGAGTCTGGCATCACGATGCATTCTGACAGCGAACAATACTCCCCAGGCGAGGAGCTCTCCACCTCACCTGAGAGCTCGGCCTCTCCCGTCATTCTCTACAAGCCGCCCACTGTTTGGTCATTAATACGAGGCGCCGCTATCAACCTGCTGCTTCCTTTTATCAATGGTATGATGTTGGGATTCGGGGAGCTGTTTGCTCACGAAGCTGCCTTCAGATTAGGTTGGGGAGGCACAAAGGTATGCTGGAACCGTTTACTAATGAGGCATTTATGATGCAAAGCCACACCTGCTTTGCTCTCGTGCTGTCATGTTTCCGACCATTAGCTGATAGATATGCCGTAGGTCTTTCCCGTGTCACGAAGACGGGCGCACCCGATCGGGCCGGGGATTGAGGTCCGAGAGCGGCGACAAGGACCAGGACCTTCGTTAGATGACTTGGCAAGCTTGGAATAGAGGAGGGATGCACAATATAAGCATTACTTGGGGATTCCGAGTTTATCATGGCGTTGGAAACGATCGGCTACATCATCGCTGGGTCTACGAATCATCTAGCCACGACAGGCGAGCGGCGTTATAATAAAAATTGGGGCAATTGCTTCATTTGGTTTCATGTGAGCTTAATAAGAGGCACGACATGTCAAGGCGTAGGAGTGTTGAAGGTGATTGTATGTATATATCTGTCGGCTGAGACCTGGCCTCATGAGTGCGAGCCTCACCAGATTAAACCAACTGCAAATATTAGATGTCGACGATTCAACTCTATTTCGAGATAGTCCTTGTTCATCTTCTTACGAATGGGCATTGACATCCGATATCGCATTGTGACAATTGGGGGGATACAGGTCTAGTCAGGAAAGCATCACGAGAGACCCTACATTCGAAAATGACGGTTAAACCCTAGTCATAGAATTTGGCCTTGGATCCTGTAGCCAATGGTCATGTTAGTCAACTGTATGGTGTCAGCAAATTCCTTTCCGTAGTTAATGGGTGTGTGTGCCGCTTTGGCGAGGTCTTCTGTACATAAATACATGAGAGCCAAACGTTTCCCGAACTTGACTGGTCGATTATATAGCTGCACGCAGTCCATGAAGTCAGCAATCTAGTTCACCTGTTAGCAAAGTGTAAACCTCTGCACGTCTTACAGGCCACTTTTTGCCCAATACCAGCCGACATACCGAAGTTTCCAATCTGCTGCCAATGCGCAACCTGTCGTGTTCATAGAAGCGCAATTCAGACATGTCACTTTGTACTCACACAACATGACCACCGCATATACCTTTTACAAAGAGCATCGTAATATTTATCAATTGCAACCTCCAAGTCACTACATATTCCTGCCTAACTTTCTTATCGATAACGTGCATACGGAGTACTTTAGCCGACATCAGCCAGGCCCAGGAACACCCGACAATTACCCGCCCAAGGTCCCCAAAAAATCGTCCAACAAACTACGAGCCAAAACGGCCGTGGAAACATCGCGTGCTAAAATTCCCCATACCACCGTCACCACAATCGCCGCGATGCTTCCCAGTCGAGCCATTGCGCGCTCTGCGCCATCATTGGGGGCGCGGAGGCAACTCCAGAGTAGATGGGCCGTAAGAAAACTCCCTCTCCCTGCATCTCGTTATGAGTTCTCCCATCGTACCCAAAGAGGCTTGCGTCGCGGCTAGAATACTGACAAAGCTCCCCGGTTTTAAGAACCCCTCGAGCGCCCTCTCACAAAGACTTAGGAACGATCGTCAGTTCGGGACATCCCCGCGACTCAACTTGTCTAGCTTGACAACGTCACCATTCCGGAGCCGACATGTCGCTCCGCCCATCATGCTGGGGGGCGTATCCTCATCTCGGCAGTTCTCACTCTGGGGCTACGGCAAGAAGAAGACGCCCGAGGAAGAACCCGCGGCCTCAAAGCCCGAGACCACCACAACCACATCCGAGGCCGTCCGTCCCGTAGACCCAACCCCCGAAAACGACGTCCCCTCGCCGCCCACGGAACCCGCAGTCCCAGCGTCCGAAGTCGACCTCTCCTCAATTTCCGACATCGTCAACGGGCAGGACATTCTCAACATGTCCGAACAGATCGGATACCTGAAAGCCCTGGGCCTAGACTTCGGCACCGGTCCCACGTCTGTCATGCAATGGGCCCTCGAGCACGTCCACATCTACAGCGGCCTCGGATGGGGGGCTTCCATCATGGCCACGGCCGTCCTCCTGCGCTGCATCATGTTCTACCCGCAGATCCGCAGTCTCAAGTTCAACGCCGTCATGCAGAACCTGCGCAAGGACCCCCGTTCCCAAGAAGCCATGAAGTTGGTCCAGCAGGGCTTCGCAAACCAGGACAACGAGATGCGCCAGAAGGGCCAGTATCTGAACAAGATGCTCAAGGAGCAGTACGGCGTCAACAACTGGGGCATGCTGTGGTCCTTTGGCCAGATCCCGTTCACATTTGGACTGTTCCGAATCGTCAGCGGCATGGCGAATGTTCCCGTGCCGGCCATGGAGACCGCCGGGTACCTGTGGTTCACCGACCTGACGGCCACCGACCCATACTTCATCCTCCCTGCCGCCGGTACCGCTCTCATGGTTGGCGCTCTAGCCGTACGGTTTCCACCCCCCTTGCTATCCTCCAAATCCTCTCCCCTGTCCACCAGCTAATGCCGTACAGATCAATGCCAAGCACACCCCCGAATCGCAAAAGAAGATGCTCAAAACAATGACCTACGTCTTCGGCGTCGTCGGCTTCATCGGCACCACATTCCTCTCCGCCGCCGTCAACCTCATGACTGTTGCCCTCGGCGCATCCACCCTCATCACCGCCATAGTCCTCAATAACGCCCTCGTCCGACGAACCGTCGGCCTACCCCCGCACCCTACCGCCTCCTCATCCACCGCCCCCCGGAAAACCACGTACGAGGCTCCCCGTGCCGCCAACGCCCCCGAACCTGGTCTCCGAGAACGCCTCGAATCCAGCCTCAACGACATGAAGAAGGGCATGTCTGACCAAATCACAAATTATACGGGAACGTATAGCGGCACCGATGAGGAAAAGGCTGAGAGGAAGCGAAAGGAGCTGATGCGCAAGTTGGAGGATACCCGCAAGCAGCAGGAACGTGAGGAATTCGAGAAAAAGTACAAGGCGAAGAGGTAGTGTGGTGAATGCTGTTCGATATGGTGGACGAACATGTAACTTTTATGCATTTCATGTACAAAAATGGGTATCTAGAGGCTTTGGGGGAGAATGTGGTGGCTCCGGCAGGGTTAGATTCATCTCCAGAGAAAATCGTGGTTTGTACATTAGAGTTTTAAAACACAGCGCATCCCCCTGCTATTTTGAAAGGGCTCTTGGAGATCAAAAGAAGAAAAATACAAACTCAATGGAAACAGACCCTCGGCCAAATAGCCCTTTCGCGGACCATCTATTCGTATGACTAATCTCGGGGCAAAAGTATTCATTCAGTGATTTATACTGTAGGGATATCGTTGTGCAAAAAAGGTATCTACTGTTCCTCCTACCCTACGTCATGTGGCTCGTAATAATGACCAAGTAAGGATCAGTTTGTTCTCCCGCCCAGCCCCTTTGTTGCTGTCACGAACTAGAATACGGTTCCGTCACTGTCAATAAGGATTGGCGGCTCCTTGGTATTTGGCCGATTGATCTCGGCAATTTCGCGGCCCCCCTGACCGATGATGGATTAGTAACGTCAGACGAGCATGGCTGCCAGAATAGTAAACTCACCTTCCAACTCCCCGCCTCCAAGAGCTGGGGCAGAGTCATCTCATTACCAGCCAGTTCATTTTTAAGATGCTTGTTGACCTCTGCACAGAGCAAATCAAGCAGACCGACTGTTACGCCACGCCATTCAACCACGACATCGTCGCTAGGCTCAAACATGGGGGCTACCTCCACCCCGTTATGGCCGGTCCGGCGGCAATAATCGGCGTAGTTTTGGAGGCCGCGCTCCATGTCATCCTTCTTCAAATTCAGTACACCAAGATCTACAAACAGCCCGCCGTTACGGTACTCTGGTAAACCAGTAAGTAATTCAGTACCAGCGAAGTGCATGTTCAGGAGCGACTGCATTGGCTGCATGAGAGAGTATGTGAGCCATTGGGTGAGCTTGTGGAACGGCAAGATAGATTCCCAGGATGCGGCACCAGGATTGGGCATAGCTTGGCAAGGCCATGCGTCTCCAAGAGAGACGCCATTCAAGGCTGTTCGTGATGGGGGCCAGATAGGCGCTAGACCATTCATTAGGACGTTCCATAGGACCGGCAACGGTACAATTAACATAGAAGACGCCTGTGTTGAAGGGTGTGAAAGCAGGTGGTCTAAGGCGTCATTGTCAGAGAAATAGGCATTTGAGCTATGCAGCGCTTGTTCCATACCGATCATATTGCCAGGTCTGCCATCTGCACCAAAGTACTCAGCTTTATCACTGAGAGCACCGGCAAGTCGGATAAGGAGCTCGGTGCGACCCTCCAAGCCAGCCAGTTCGCCCCCAGGGCGAGATTGAAGCCCTGCTTCAAGCTTCTCCACAGTCAGGGCTTTGAGCCCATCTTTGTCGACTTGGAATTTGTTGCTTGCGTTTCCGGAGAAGAGACCCTTGAGTAGTCATCAGCCTTGACAGTTCGACTTGCCAATTTGAAGGGCTGTGGACATTCTTACCTCTTTGAACATTTCCAAGCTGGCGACGGCCAACCCTTCGGATCGTCGATAAATCTTCCCATTCTCCGTGCTCTTATAGCTCCACTGAGTACCGGCACCAGCATCCAACAGTACGCTGATCAAGAACAGGTCAATCAGTCGACGACAACGCTCGGTGCTGTCAACAGACTCTGGCCAGGAATCGAGCAACTCCTTCACGCGATCCTGACCGCCGACGCAGAAATGCTGGTACCGTCCATGTCCGGGTATGGTGTTAAAAGGTGCCTCGTAGTCCCGCTGTGGCCCATGTTAATTCGGATTTTATGTTCAGACCGTGTTTCCGAGAGAGGGGTTATGGGAAACGTCATGACATCGGCCAAAAAAAAAAGTGAGATGATGCGTGCGGGGAAATAGCTGGGTAAAACATGTATTATAGAGATGGACATACCTTGATTAGGCCAGAAACAAAGGTGACGACGTTAGGCAACTTGGCGAGATCAACATCAAAGTGATTAAGTTCGTTACGCGTCGCCTTGTCCATGATGATCTTGCTCCTCTCTCTCACGGCACCCAAGCTGCGGAGGTATCCGACAGGGTCCAACTGAGGATCGGGGGGTCGAGGAAGATCGACTTTGGGTAACTTGATTGGCGACATTGGTGGTAGCGGTGTGCCTGCTGACGTGAAACTTCCGGCTGAGGTGCGGTTTCCGATGCCTCGTGAATTTCCAGAGGCAATGCTGGTTGTTGAATGAGAAGCTAGAATGGATGAGTTACCCTTGGGGACCTTGTCCTTTCGAGAAAAGAAGCCCATTGTGGTTGGCTAGTTATCTGATACAAAGGGCAGAACTCAACCAGGCACACTCGCAGGTGGCCGATGAGGGGCAGGGTGCGGGGAGAGCTCTGCTCGGCTCAGGAGCCGCAGGTGACAAGTGACAGATCGTGCCGTGATTGCAGATGTGCTAGACGATGGCGCACTTGATGCTCGCGGGGTTATTATGACCACGGGATCTGGTGGTGCGGTGAACAGATATACTCAATCCAAGGTTGTCCGAGTCGCGAGCCAGGTAAAATCGAACCGAATTAACGACCGTGACGTTCTGGACCAGGAATGAGCGAGCAAGATGGATGTTTTTGAATGGCGGCGAAGGCTCCTAGGACGTCGAGCAACTTGAGAAACGAGAGCAGGGGTCCAGGCGGGGACTGAACGATGGAGCAGGCAGCTCAGTGGCCGTGTCGCAGAAGTCAAGTCTGACCTAGCTGGGATTTGTGGTCGGTCCACCACCAAGTACGGAGTACTATGATGCTGGCTGGTTTTGGGCGGATGCAACGCCGATTGGTGCTGAACCAACCGCGCCTGGAGTGGTTCGGGGCTTTCCAAATATGTCAAGTATGCCCCGAACCCAACCAAATTCGCGGTTATCTCACTTGCAAAGTCTATAAATCTCTAATTTGCAGCGGTCGTAGGTCGGCCTGCTATGTTGCTGGACGGTGTAATGCGTGGCTCCTTTACTCGTCTTGTTCTCTCGGCTGGGTCGGCAGCAGCAACAAGGCGCTGCAATTGATGGAGTCGAGTATAATTTATAATTTGCTGTGGCCTGGTCAGCAATAACACCTCATGCTAGCCCCAGTGGCTGCCCTAGATTTCCATGCCCCTGGTTAGCGACCGTCGATCAACGGTTTTGAGAAGTGTGTTGCCCTACCTATTCCTCCCGAGTCAGTCGGTATAGTCGGTGCGGTTTTGCGGCCGTTGGTCATAGAGCCGAATGGGCTGGCCCGCTGGTGTCTAGGCCCCCTGTGTTGTTAGATGGCGGATGGATTCCCCGTGCCTCCCAAAAACCAGAAGGAAAGGGTCAGGGTCTACGCTCCGTGGGTCTGGATGAGCAAACTGCCCGAACATGTCCAGCCACGGAGCACAGGCACAAGCATTCTGGGGTGGAAGCAAGAAACTTGTGCAACGCCTAGCCTAGGTCCAAACTGCTATCCAAACGGCCGTGGCCAGTCGCTGGGCCCAGCCTAATTCAGAATGTAGAGAAGGACTCGATGCGTCATGCAGGAGCCCTTGATCTCGCAGCCGCGCTCTCTTGGCGTCTACGGGTGAATCGGTCTGCCTTCTCCCTCTCGGCTGTCTGTCTGTGGTCTTTTGCGCGGGTGGAATGCCTACTAGGTCAAGTACCTACCGAGGCAGGTAGGCACACATAGAAGAGAGCCGAGACTTTCTGAATGATGAAAGGACCTCGAGCAAGCATTCAGGGCTGAGGGCAAACCTTGCTAAGTGGCCATTGCGATGTGTTACATGACCATCTGGTTGCCAATTGACCGAGAGATGCATGGGACGACCCGCAGCCAATGTACAGGTATGTGCAGGTAGTAAGTAATGTACAACGGTTGTCGTTGTCAAGGTTCCGAGATGCATTCCGAGCTGCATGTGTGACGCAAGGATGTGGTGCAGGTGGGTGTTGGTAGTGTTCACTGCAGGTGGTGCAGGTGAGCAATCAAGTCTACTTGTATGGTCTGGTAGGTGTACCGAGCAGTGGCAGCCATGTGGCCCAGGCCAGGCGCCGGCAATGATGGCGCACACGACGCACGATATGGACAAGCAGCGAGGAATTGTGATGGGAACTTGTTGTAGGCTACGGGATACGGAGCCTTATCCGCGTCTCTCCTGGGTTGCTTAAGTACGGAGAAATAAAGGTGCCATCCAAGGTGCATGTGCGGGTGTCTGCTTCCGCATTGGACGAGATGGCTCCTTCCCTTCCTAGAGGTCCATCACGTCTTGGCCGAAGTCGTGGTTGCTGTTGAAATGCTTTGCTCTGTACTCCGTACAACTGCCGCACCTACAATCCCAACATCCCCAACACCCCCAATCCTAGCAAAACGCATACACTAAAAAAGGACCTGACATCTGACTTTGCATTTTGCACGTTTACTCAACCAGGACCAACCAGACGGCGACCTTGACCAGCAATGCATCATTCCTCGTTCAGGGATGCGATCGCACAGCATATCCTGTTGAAGAGAGTGAATGGCCCGTGACTCTCGGCACCAGACAAGTTGTGCGACAAAACACCAAATCCTCCCGAAGCAGCGAACCAATAGACCCTGCGTGCCTCCATCTTTGCCTAGGCCTCGTTTGTTCAGCCCAGAGCTCGGAGTTATTTGTCAGGCGAACGGCTAGTTCCTAGACGTGCAGCGGGAGCCGGTGGCCGGTGGCCGGCGGGTGGGGGGGTGGCCGGCGGTTGAGCGAAAAATTCGGCGACTGCATTTTGCTTTGGATCTGGTAGTACTCCGTCGCATGTCTGCCCGCCCTAGACATGTATGCCATCCGGAGTGCTTACGTCGCACGGAGCAGACCAGATCAGCATTTGCCGGAGTCCAGTCCGAGGTCGAGGTTATGGTAGCAATGTGAACAGCATGCAAGGCACCACGACGCCACCAAGAAAACACCGTTCTAATCCTAGATGAACTGGTTCATGTTTTCATCAGGGGCATCAACTCATCGATTTGGACCCCCAACCGTCTCAAGTGACAGGGTGGCAGTCCAATCCACTCACCTGTGTCCTTGTCGATGGAACATCCAAGCCACCAAATAGATCAGCCCTGTCAACTGGGCTGTTTCGCAACATGGGACGACATCGGGCACGGACCCTTGCCGCCTTCTGCCAAACTCCCTGCATCACACAAAAGCGGTTCAACTCAATGTTCGCCTAAATAAATGCCACTTGCAGTTTGAGTTCTGACACAACTCGAGTAAACTCACAGACATCGCATACGCAGAACTTCACATTCGCCGATGCCCAGGGCGCTAATCTTGAGCGCCCAGAACAGGGTTATTTTCTTCACCAGCCCATCCCGCAACCGCACTTTTTATACCTAGAAGACTGAATTTAAAGATCCCCCCCCAAAAGGAACATGCGGGCATACTTCCTTCTGGACCAGAAACCTTTATGGCCATGAGTTTGTCACGTACAAGCGACAATTGCTGCACGGAGAGGTAGAGAGTGAGCAGGAATTCCAAATGCCAACTGCAACGGTGACGGCTGGTCAATTTTAGACGACTCAGACTACTTCCTTTATAGGCAATTTTGCGGCCGTTCACCATTCTGCAAGGGACATTAACGCGCTACTGTGCTCATTCCTAGGGGTGGGGGATCACACCCCGCGTGACGTCAAATCGTAATCAAAGCGCGTTATCACGGAGCAACAAGCAAACGCTGTTATCAAGTCACTACCTAGGTGCCTAGGACAGGAATTAAATCGAATGCGAAGACCATAACTCCCCATAAACACTGCGTCTTGAGCTTCTTCTCCTACTTCTTCTTTTTTTTTTAAAAAAAAAAATGACGAAATTCAACTCCTTCCTCGTCGCAACATCGATCGCTCAGCTTACATTGCCCCCGGATCTTCCTGTGCTCTCGGGAAATTTCCAGCTCATAGCGCACGTCAAGTCTCCCAACATTACCAAGTTCACGGCCGGCATTGAAAACTGGGAGGTCGCATCACTGCCGGGGTCCGGCTGCCATGAGCCCCTTTCGCTGAAGAAACCTGGCGATAACGGCACGGCCAGCGGCACCACATTTTGGTTCAACCCGGAGACGATGGGCGTGGCGTACGGCGATGGTGAAGACATGAAGACTTTATCCGTTCCAAAGGGAGGGCACGGCGAACGCGCACTCAGCATGGACTGCAGGAAGGGAACGGCCGGAGTCAGAATCGTCCCGCGGGAAGATGGGCCGCAGCTTGTGTACGGGAGCAACGGGACGTTTTACGTGTGTCCACGGAGGGTTCGCTCCCAGGGGGTAGCGCAGCTGCTGTACAGAGAGAGCGACGAGCTGTTGCCGTACATGTGTGCCGACGTGGCTCTGTTTGCGAAGTGGGCGAAGGGCAGGACGAGGGGGGATGAGTCCATCGTGGATTGCTGTACGGATGTCCGCGACGGGGTCTGCCTGTTTCCCCTTCAGCCTCGGTAGATTCGTGGCTTTGGGCATAATTTTGTTCAGTGTTTGCTTCGTCGGTTATCGCGTGTTGATGGCCCCTGACCAGACCAGCCTGATAAGCGTGTATTCTAAATTTCTAGCGCCCTTGTAAAAGGGGCAACTTAATTCTTAGTGTTAATATCTTGGCCCCCTCGGCCTCGTCATATGAGAAACATGATGCATTTTTCTTGCTTGCTGCTGCAGATTGGCGTCATGGTACGGCCCGGTCTTCGCCTTACCCGTGTTTCGGCACTTACAGACATGTCGAGTACTTTCTTGGGAGGACAAAAGTGGCAATGGTGATGTTTAGCGGCTTGGGCCAGCATTAGCAAGTTGGCACGATGGCGTCACCGTATTAAGCTGTCCGCCAGTGTTGCATTGCGCTTCTTTCGAGACAATGATCGTTCCCCCGAGGTGGACTCGTCAATTTGCTGAGTGATGCGCTTTCTACGCAGCGTACTTGTGTGGTGAATGGTTGTACGGCCAGAGGGGATTGCGGCAATCAGAAATTACTTCTAGCCTTGTCACACGGAATGTCTCTTCCTGCTGTTCTTGCATGACTCCTGAAGTTGCAGTTTTGCTGGCTATTATATGTATGGGCACCCTGCTGATTCGAGGCTAAAGTAGTTCTTTTGGACTTTCTGGTTGCTATCATGACTTGATATACAATTTGGGTGATAGGAAGCTGCCATGGGACAGCAAATAGGTTGCAACTTTCTGTGTACACTCATATCGGGAGGTAAACGGACAACGCCACGGACTCGCTGGATTCAGACTGTTCTTCCGTATACCTCGCGCTTGACATCCGCCCAACATGACAACCAGCAATACTGATTGACATTACTCTGGTGCAATTTTATCCAACTCGTAGTGCCGGTATTCTATTTGATTCTTCTTGTAGGGATTTTTATCAGGGCTGGGCTTCATCTCGCAGCCCGATACCCTGGCCCCCTCCTTCTCCTACACAACGCCGAGTTCTTCGGCTCTCCTCAGGTTCGGTTCTGAATTGCTAGTGTTGTTAAATTTTCCAATCTCTATAGAAATCCTTTTGCGCCAGTAATTGTCCCGGGATTCGACAAAGCCGTTGGGCTGGCTGGAGATATTCGCAGCTCTCGCGTACAACTCTTGTTCAAATTCCTCTAGCCATGTATCGAAGGGCTGTACCACTGTTTCGTCTTCGAATATACTATAGCTTTCACTCCCAAAGTCGTGTACGCGCGAATCCCGCTTTTGGCAACAGGTATGTTCCATATCCAACATCTCAAATGTGAGGAATCGCATGGCAGCGATGTGATCTTCGACGCGGAGGGCGGCGCCCAGACTGAGACGCCGCAAAACATGCAGACCATTGGAAATCACGCCTTGGGTTTCATCCAACAAAAATCGCATATCGCCGTCTTCAGGAGACAAAAGAAATGGCATGTCATGCTCTTTAGAAGATATGCAAATGGACTACAACCTCCAGATGGGCATCTGCATCTGCAGTTGTCGGGTAGTGCGACGGGTAGGATTTTGTGAAACAGAGCTTCCGTCGACCCAGTGAGGCTGGGCGAATCTTCAGAGAGTGTTTCGGGGAGGTTTACGAATGCAATGTGACCCGCCGACGTCGTATGAAACAGTTGAGAGTTCAGAGCCGTTGGAGTTTGAAAAACAGTTCGGGAGACATCAAGTCCATGATCAAAAACCCACATACACATGTCGGTGGAGAATCGATTCAAGACGAAACTTCGGGGTAACTGCCCGAACACATCCATGTCATGGAACCCAAGCTTGGAGAGACGATCGGCATCCCGCACACGGAAGTATCGACTAGCGTATATCAAAGGCGCACAATCACCAATGCTCAGTGCTAGGGGAACATCGACGATACGACTGCGAAGCAATTCAGACTACTCCAGCATGAGCTTCCAGTACGGTAGACTTATCAAGCCCCAGGCGAGTAGATTTGAGGAATTACAGATGGTCTGGTGCGAGCTCTTCAGCCTTTCACGACGGTCCTTCGAGTATCATATAAATCTAGTCTTGCATCTCTCCGATGACGTGGCCAGCATTTCCATTATTCCATCCTTTTTGTTGAATATAGCGCAGTCAGCCTTGAGGAGCATGACTACGCATTCTGCGCAACTGCATCGGCGGCATCCAACCCCCTCGAGTCCTGCCCGACAGTGTTTTCTGCTTGGCCACATAGCCCACACCAGCGGTGTGTCACCGCGACAATCGGCTGTGTTTACCAAAGATCCAGACTTCTCCTCGCCATTAGTGTGCCGCTGGACCTTATCAGTGGCAGCTTTCGTCTCCTAAGCGGTCCGTTATAGCGTAGTCCTTTTGGGTCTTGGCCTCGGCGAGGTGGAGATCTAAAGGATTACGCTATAACGGACCGCTCAGGAGACGAGCGCCGCACCGACAAGATGCAGCGGCACACCCGGTCACGGTTATTAGCCAGAACGGCGAGGCTTAGCGGTGCGAATCCATACGCTGTAATTGTTGTTGTCAGCCGAGTAATGTGCCTAGTTGCTGAGTGCCGAACACACTGTCAGTACAGAGGTCTACAAGGAAACGGGGGGGTTGAGGGTCCTACAGATCGAGATTCTGCATGGCGAGATGCAAGGCTGATGTTGTCTGGTCTGGGCGCACCTCAAGTTGCTGAAGCTTCTGGCGATCGAAAGCACAGCTTAGCTTCTTGGCTTGCTGCTTCATTTTCTCTGCCCACCTCGGCTCTGTCGCGTCACGGCCTGCCAGCTTTGCCACTATGTCACCCAGAGCTTTGAGCTCCGCTTCAAATGAAACGAGGCATTCTGTCACGGCAGCTGTCGAAAACACAGGCTGAGTGCGTACGCGAGACGGACAGTGGTTGATTCCGGCGAGGAGGTCCTTGAGAGCCTTGTTTTTTTCTGTCGGACAGAAGCGAGCTCCTCACTGCGGCATTTGACGGCATCGAGGTATGTTGTGATGCCGTCGTACATGTCGAAGCCAAAGGAGATGCCAACTTCGGCCATAGTGGTCATCATTATGCCAGCTCTCGACTGCAGATTCACAGCCATGGATGAAAGATGGGGTTACCAAGGAAGAAACGATCTTGCGGAAAGGAGGCACCGACATTGAGGGTAAATTAATCACACCGTGGCTCATGTTCTCTCCGCGAGGCTTGATGCCCAACGGAACTATCAGGCTGGGACCATACATGCGGAAAGCCTTGTTGTCTGCCAGTCCCAGCATTTCATGCAACCCTGAGAAGCGAGGCTGATGTGGTTGACCATGAGTGGTGTGGAATGAGCAAATAACTACGTGCTCAGCCCCGCGGCTTTGCCTTCGACACGTGTAACCCAAGGTGAGGTTTGAGCGACGTGAATGTATTCTTGTTTTAATTAGAGTCTAAATAAACATGCCCTAGCAGAGAAACCAGAAAAAATTATCCAAACACGTTTTTGCCGAAAAAAAGTTTGCCGTTGATCCTTCGTTTTGGCAACGGGGGGTAGTTGGGCTGTGTCGTGCCAGTATAAGAGCACTTCTCCAACAATGTAGTGAGAAGATGCCGGTAGAAAACGCTGTATCGGAATGGAAACCTTGATGACTCGTTGTCGCGTAAGCACCGCGGATTAAGCGATGCAGAGAAGCCCAAAATCGCTGTTAGGAACGAGCCTAACCTCCCCAAATATGTAGCAAGATTGACTCGTTCCGACCATGGAAACGTTGTCGAGTTCACTGGAGTCGGAGCAGTTGCGTAATTGACGAACGTGTATGTGAACAAGTTCATAAGCCGCGGTCACCGATTCAGACCTTGCTTATATCATTTGCGTATTCGATGAAATCGCATGGCTGGATCCATGAGTCATGGTTGTTAATCGAGGAGGTACTTTTTTCCAAAAGTTGATACCCAGCCACCTCGACGTCGAGAATGAACTTCAATCTATTTCTTTCTTCTCCGTCTGGTCCCAGCATCCACGGGACCTTGTCTTCGATTGCCAGTTTTGTGCGCACGGGGTAGCCGTCACGGAAAATAACCCCGAAGTGGGAAGTGGTAGAATATGCCAATAACAGCTTGTTGTTTATCGAGTGCGAGGTCCCCATGTCCTTGTGGTTTGTTGCAAGACAAGCAGGAATCCCCCATGGGTGTAATTGTTTTACACTCGAATTTTCCGTCCCCGGTCTTCATGCATTTCCAGTGCGTCGTGCGCTCATAGTCAATATAGTAGACGGACATATTGTCGGTGTTTGGTGGTGATCGTTTGCGCGTGTGTTCTGGAAAGGCGAGAGGTTGAGTTGCAATTTGGAATGAGAAAGTGTTGATTGGAACTCACGGAAGATCGCGTGCAGGGTGAGGCTTTTTATGGGCAAGGGGAAGTAATTTGATCACGTTGTACTTTATGGCATGTTGCCGAAATATCCATATTTCACTCATTGTTCAACCCATTCGCTGTGTTATAGTAAAGTACTAGTGGTGTTCTGCTCCTGTTCTGTGGTGTTCTGCTCTTGTTCTGTGGTGTTTTGCTCCTGTTCTATGGTGTTTAGCTCCTATTCTATGGTGTTTAGCTCCTATTCTGTGGTGTTCAGATGCCATTTTGGAAATGAAACCGATATAGCCGCTTTCTGAATCCCCTTGCAGCGCAGCTGTACGGCAAAGGTTTATCGGATCAACAACTGTGGCGCGGCTTCGCCTTCGTTCTGCAAAACATCGTCTTGAACTGTGCTGGAACGCCTTTCAGACCCTTTCCTTGTGTTGCGGTTCTTGCACGCGAGACCGCGTCTTTGCACAGTTATGCTAGGCAAGTTCTGATGCTGACTTGTGTGAACACAGCCAGTTTGATCCAAGTTTGGGCGATTACGCGTCAAAAGTATCCAACAATTCAAGCACAATTTGTTGCAGCAATTGAACCAAGAAGCAATCATGCAGAGTGCACATGACTTTTCCAAATCGCTTCACATTGAAGCGCCATGATGGACTATTGCAATAATGATGCAAATGCAGCTTCACAGAATTTCGCATGCTGGCGGCCGTGTTCATGCGTATCGTCGGGGGAGACATTCGGTATATGCAGACTAGACTCATAGCATAATTTCGTATATTTTCAATGATAGCTTGTAGTAGCTTTGCTGCACTAACTATTTGGAGCCCAAGGTCCGAGAAAGTAGCCGGCACTCATAAATAAATACGGCAGCGCAAAGAGAAATCGCTATTTTCGCCGCATCAACTCCCTGTCCTGGTATACCTGAACCTCGAAAACGATTTTACACCTCCATGCTCATTAGCTCAACCATGACATAGGAGTGTGAGGAAACTTGACGCGAACTCACCTAGTACACTACAGGGCCCCATTCCTCCACTCCATTCCCTGGCACTCCTTCAGTGCCAAGGTCATTGACTTGCTCTTTTACTTTGATAGAAATTCTAATGTCGATTATACCCCTTTGCTATTTCTGGCTGAATTATGCAATGAGATCGGCCACGTTCATGGGCATTTCATCAATCTGAGTGGAATAATACACTGGGACATGTTAGCACTGCGATGGTATTAAAAGGCTGAATTGACCTACACTCGATATCTCTCAGAATGCGCACATCTTCGGTCGTAACAAAGTTGATAGCTACGCCCTTGCGACCGAATCGGCCACTTCGGCCAATACGGTGGATGTAGTTCTCACGATTGCTGGGCAAGTCGTAGTTGATAACTAGACTGACCTGTTGCACATCGATGCCACGGGCCCAAACATCTGTTGAGATGAGGACTCGACTATTGCCCTGTCGGAAGTCCTGCATGATGCTATCCCGTTCCTTCTGCGGCATATCGCCATGCATGCTGCTGACGGTGAAGTTGGCCTCGCGCATCTTGTCAGTGAGCCAGTCAACCTTGCGGCGCGTGTTGCAGAAGATGACGGCTTGTGTAATAGTAAGGGTATCGTACAAATCGCATAGCGTATCGAACTTCCAGTCCTCCTTCTCCACAGCAATGAAGTACTGTTTCAGACCCTCGAGGGTCAGCTCATCACGCTTGACGAGAATTCGGACAGGGTCGGTCATGAACTTGGTTGTCATGTCCAACACATCATATGGCAGGGTGGCGCTGACAACCACGACTTGTGTGGCCGGGGGTAGGTATCGGTAGACATCGTAGATTTGTTCCCGGAAGCCCTTGTTGAGCAATTCATCGGCCTCGTCTAGTACTAGCATCTTGATGTGCCTTGTTCGTAGGTGGCGTCTCCGAATCATGTCGGCAACACGTCCAGGGGTCCCAGACACGATATGCTGACCATAGTCGAGCTTGCGGATATCTTCGCCGACGTTGGTGCCACCAATACAGGCGTGGCATTGGACGTTCATGTAGTCACCAAGAGCCATAACGACTGATTGGATTTGAGTAGCCAGTTCACGGGTTGGTGAAAGGACTAGAGCCTGTGTTTCGCGCACAGCAGTGTCGATGACCTGCAGCATACTTATCGAAAAGGTCGCCGTTTTGCCAGTGCCGGATTGTGCTTGTGCGATTGTGTCGCGTCCCTTGCACACTTGAACGATGGCTCGGGATTGGACGGCAGACGGGGATTCATAGCCGTACGCATAGATGCCACGAAGAAGGTTCTCTATGTGTCGACATTAGTCGTTACTCGTCGGGACTCGACAAATCATTTCCTGCTGGTTGTCACTCACCCTTCAAAGACATCGACTCGAAAGTAGGGTGAACGGTGACTTCTTTGGAGGTGGAAAATTCCATCCTCTCATCCGCCTTGCGGTCAATTCCTCCAGCGACTTCAGCCATCTTATTGGTATTTATGTGATTGCGAAGATGGGGATTAAACAGCAATGCACTATGATGTCGAGATGAGCTGCAATAAAAAAAGTTCGGGAGCTGGTGAAAGTGTCGGGTTTACTTCGGCAGAGTGCGGATTGTCCGCCCTCCACAGTGGCGCTGGGCTGAACGAGGCTGGCCAAACTTTTGGCTGAAGCGACGAAGCTGTACGACTTCGCGACCAGACCCTTTTTTTTGTTCGCGACAGACCACCATAGCATCAGAAGCGTATCAATAGTGGCTGCCAAGATGTACGTTTTAGAAGAGCAAAGATACATTCATGAAGACCTTGAGCGCCTGGAACAAGGCATTGCTGATCGCGTCCGCGAGGAGCCAAAGCATGTGAGTAATTGCATTCATGACACATTTCACAAAATTAAACTGACATAATTTGTTAAAAAGATTCGCGACCGCTTAAACCGAGACCATGAAATCGCTCAACTCCTCGATCAGATCCAAAGGCAGTCAAGTAACCTGTTGAATCTGTACAAGGACGAGAACGGCGCCCGAGCAGGAGAACTCCAAGAACTCAACACTGGCGATCCCTTTGACGCATTTTACAAACAACTTGGCGACATTCGCGAGCACCATGCCAGATATCCCAACGAGCAAGCAGAAAACTCGGAGCAAAGATACAAACAAAAGAGAGGCGACCCGTCCGCCCCTGTCGCGACGGTAGTGGACACAATCTTCTCCGGAGAAGAAGCATTTGGGCGATTTTTCGACTTGAATACATGTTATGACTCATTTTTAAATCTACCTAATGTCAAGCGACTTACATATTTGCAATATTTGGAGTATTTTGACAATTTTGCTTCGGGGTATGGCGGAGTCAAACGAGGCGACAAGATGACGGATCAGTATTTCAACTATGTTGGAGAACTTGCGCAATACCTTGAAGATTTCATGCGAAAAACGCGCCCCCTAGAGAACGCAGACAACATTTTATCAGGCTTTGACGAAGAGTTCGGCAAGCTTTGGGAGAAGGACGAGATTGAGGGCTGGCAGAACGAGTCGGCAACAAACGGCTCAAAAGCGACTCTGACCGACGCCGATGCCATCTGGTGCGAGGACTGCGAGAAGGAGTTCAAAAACGAAAACGTCTACAAGAACCACTTGACTGGGCGAAAACATATCAAGGCAGCTGAGCAACGCAAACAACGGCAGCAAGATGCCGCGGCGGGGTCAGCAGATTCGAAATCAGTTGTCGTTTCATCGACACGATTAAAGGAGAGGGCCATTGCAGAGCGGGAATACCGAGTCAAAAAAATGGCCAGCTTAATGAGTACGGAGCGAAGCGATACCCGCGTCAACGTTGAACGAAAGCAAGGCATGACAAAACGCGAACGAGAACAGGAACTCGAAAATCTTCTCAACGCTTCCGACGCGCCACGGGAGGCCGCTGAAGACGGTGAAGGAGAGGGCGACGACGACGAGGACAAGATCTACAACCCTCTCAAAGTTCCATTAGGTTGGGACGGCAAGCCGATCCCCTTTTGGCTGTACCGACTACACGGTCTGGGCGTGGAGTTTCCCTGCGAAATCTGCGGCAACTACGTGTACAAGGGCCGACGAGCGTTCGAGAAGCATTTCAACGAGTCTCGCCATATTTACAACCTCAAATGTCTGGGCATTACCAATCCGACCCTATTCCGGGACATCACCAAGATGGACGAGGCCGTCAAGCTTTGGGATAAGATGCAGAAAGAAAAGAAGAAGTCAAAGCTAGATGAAGGCAGTGTCGTGCAAATGGAGGACGGAGAGGGCAACGTGATGCCCGAAAAAGTGTACTATGATCTACAAAAGCAAGGGTTGCTGTAAAGATCGGGTGAGCTATCGCCTATACAGTGTGTAATTAGTAGAAGAAGAACGCGACGTAGTATAGGTAAGACAAAACTGGTGTATCATATTTCGACCAATTTCGAAACAATCCTTCAGGGGAGTAGGAATGAAACCAATGAATAACTACCTAGGTACTTACCATATGGCATTGGGCCGTCAAGGTTTTGCCCGAAACATGAGCTGTGGCGGTGAGGTGTGCTTAGGCCACGAACCCGCGCCTCGGGCGACTTACCCACTTTGACAATGAACGATCAACAATCTTGCCAGTCAATAGAACAATCAGATGCATGATAGGACCGGAGAGGGCGTAAAATAAACGACCAAGACCTGTGCAAAGGATCGGAATGGGCGATCCCTGGACAACTCACTCGGCACTTGGTCGTTTATCACACATGGTCCATCGTCCTATGCGGGCACTGCCCCATAGCAGAGGATTGACTCCATCGTGACTCGCCAATGTGCTGCAGGGTTTCTTATTGACATTGTTTGACACTCGGAAGGTTTCCGATGGCTGTACTGGCCGGTGTCGATCCCATGGAACGCATTAATTAAATTACGCGGTGTAGCTTCCTTCTTCACCTTTTCCCCCGTGTCGAGACAGTTTTTTCATTTACATAGCCCATTACAGCCGTTGTTAAAAGGGGGTATGTCTCCAGGCTCTGAGAGGAAGTTGCTTCCTTCAAGGAAGGGTTCTTTGGGAGATTCTGTTGTTGGGATTGAGCTGGACTCGATGGCGGATAAGGCGAACGATTTGCCCAGCAGTGGCTCACATCACAATGCACAGACTGAGGATGATAAGTTTGAGGGCTTGTTTTGTGAGTACTATACTTTGTTTCTAATTTTTTTTTTTGGAAGATGGGCAAATTGAGACATATATAGGCTAATATGGAATAGTATGGGCCTCGAGACCTCAATCATCATTCGAGATGGCCTCATTTCATGCGGCTTCGCGGAAGTATCCTGCCATACATGATATTCCCACTCTTGTTTGTGGCTGCCTGGGCGAGCTGTGTTACGATAATTTCGCGACGAGTTCATCACAGTATGTAGCCATGTGTCCTTTCAAGGGCAAAAAGAATGAAGGCTAACGGTGTGTAGTCGGCGTCAGTCAGGTTCTTCTCACAGTTCTCGGTTTCGTCGTCGGTCTGTCGCTATCTTTCCGAAACTCAACGGCCTACGAGAGATACAACGAGGGGCGCAAGTACTGGTCTCAACTAGCTAGTGTGACGCAGAGTCTGGCAAGAATTGTCTGGGTCCATGCGAGTGAGCGTGAGGAATGCGAGACGGAAGACCTATTGGCCAAAGTTACATTTTGCAACATGCTGGTTTCACTCTGCTTCGCCTTGAAGCACCGACTACGCCACGAGCCATTCACGCACTACGACGACCTGCAAAGTAGGACCGGGCATTTGCCGATAGTGGCACATGAGGCCGGGAAGAAAGAGTGGGAGAAACCTACCAGATGGGAGACAATAGGCCTGTTCCTCGGGTTTCCCATGGCAGAGCAGAATCCTCGAAGACTCATGAAGAACCCTGCCAAGCCGTTGGGCAATGTGCCGCTGGAGATTCACAGCTCTTGCTCGACGTTTATCCAGGCCATTATCGACAACGGGACGCTCAAGACGCCGGGCTGCCACACATCAGCCATGGGGTTGTTGGCACAAATTAACGACATTCTCAACGGAACAGAGCGAATCCTCAACACCCCGTTGCCGCTGGCTTACTCGATTGCCATTGCCCAAATAACATGGGCGTACATCCTTCTCCTGCCGTTCCAACTTGTCGACAATCTCAAGTGGACAACAATCCCGGCAACAATTTTCGCGGCATACATCATTCTTGGGCTTGCCCTTATTGGACGGGAGATTGAGAACCCCTTCGGAGACGACGTAAACGATTTGCCCCTCGAGGGCTTCTGCGAGCAGATTCGGCAGGATATTGACATAATCATGAGCCATTCGCGGAAGTCAACGGAAGATGTGGTGAAGAGAGATGAGAATGCGGTACTCTACCCGCTGAGCCAACACGGGTATCATGCTCTGGTGTCCAAATCGCCGGAAGAAATTAGAGCGTTGCTCCGTGTCAAACTGCAAATGCCGAATGATGAATGACCGCGTTTCAGCAATCCTAGTTTTTGCTGAAGTAGATAGGCGGTTGAGAGGGAAGAAGGCTGCAGAATGGCAAGAATTTTTATCAAGGTGTGCATAGCTAGGATTAGAGTGTTTCAGCGTGATGGTGTACATGTATTGTCGAAACGTCAGAGGTCGCCTCGAATTCGGGATTATAAAGTCCAATCCGATTTTCTTCAAGAATGAGGCATTCGTAGAGATTGAATTGTTGTGTGTACAGGCATTCTGATGGCCTCTTGACGTATTGCACGGTGTTTGTTGATGACTGAGATTTGTTCTCACGCGTAGGGGGGAAATAGTGCAGGCGGCGACAAGCGACAGCTCCTATTGGTCCACGCGGAAGCTCCTCAGGCACACCGACCCCTGACAACGTAGTTTGGCCATTGACAACAGTCAAGAAAGCAGACATCACGACCAGAGCGTCAATTGAGAACTTTGTCGCGCGGCATCCTAAAATGCCATGATTTTCAAGACTGCCTACCGCCAGGCATGAGTCATATCGCAAAGCCTCTTCCGGCGTTATACACGGTCTACGTCCTTCGTTCGACCGTAAGACACGCGTCTCTGTATATTGGCTCGACACCGAACCCGCCACGTCGTCTGAAGCAACACAATGGCGAGTCTAAAGGCGGCGCGGCGCGCACATCGCGTGATAATCTGCGTCCTTGGGAAATGATTGTTTTGGTTTCTGGGTTTCCCAGTATGGTTGCCGCGCTCAAATTTGAGTAAGCCCTCTCTCCTAACCACACAGCGTCCACCCTGGCCCAATTCTTCACCGAGAGTAGAGAATCCTGCATATACCACGCGCTTTCTGCTAACCACCCCATCAGGTGGGCATTGACGAATCCTCATCTTTCTTTACATATACCGGATGAAACACGTTTAAGCATCTCAACACAGAGAAAGAAGAATGGCATGCCAAGGCGGCCACTGCACAGCTTGAAGTCGATCATGTCAAATATCCATCTACTTACGGGCGTGCCGAGTTTTGTGAGGTGGCCACTGAATGTGCATTTTCTTGCAAGGGAAGCCTATACTGCATGGGAGTCTAGGATACAAGCCACGCGGGAACCTAGTCGAGACGGTCTTGAGATACTTACCGATTTCGGTTCTTCGTCATCTTCGGGGGGCATTCACGCCTTGCCAGTGGATTATAGCGCTATTGCGGAGTATGTGGTCAAGGCGCACGATGTGGTGAAATTTGAGCAAGAGGGCAACTGCGTTCACTGTGCAGAAGAGCTGGAATCAGGAAAGGGCCTGCACGGCATGTGTCCAAACGACAAATGCAAAGCCATGGGACATCTGGACTGTTGGGGTAAGCATGCACTGTCTGGAGAAAATACCACCCACATTATACCTGATCGATGCTCATGCCCGTCATGTGGGGCGCCTGTCAGATGGGGTGATATGGTGAAAGAACTGAGTTTGCGTGTGCGTGGAAACAAGGATGTTCAGAAACTGGTCAAGGCGGCAGAGAAGGCGAAGAGGATAGCTGCAATATAGCATTTTAAAATTTTTTTGTCGAAGCTTATGCGTCTGTGTAGTCATGCAAGAACACACGCGGCGTCGAAGGTCTGCATGGCCGGATATGCTGACCGGCGCCTCCGAGGTGATTGACTTTTGATGAGGCGGCGACAGGGACTTTTAACTCCCGGCGAACGAGGTGCTTATGGTAGCCAATGCCAATACTGCTGCTGCGGCGTCGAAATATCAGCCAACCCGGGATTCTCGCGACAGAATATAAAGTAGCCTGGTTATCTGTAGAAGGGGCGTTCGGATACTGCTAGTAAATACACCGTACATACATACATGTACTATTCCCCGGATTGTGCATGACAGGTCTGAAGCAAGTGGATGGGCGGGCCGAGCGGTTCATAGCGTTAGGACAACACATGGCGCAGGCAGCATGTCGGGATGACCTAGATTTGCGTCTAAAATTCCCCTGGGTTCGATCCTCTCTTTATTACCACCTTTGCACATTCGCCCTCATGGATCAAAGCGAATAGCAAGGTGCAGAACATGTGTCATGTAAGGCTGGGACGGCGAGGTGAGAGAATCGCCGCTCTCGTCGGCTTCATAAAAGCGGGTCGGTCTTCCAATCCTCCGGCGCGGGTCCACTTTATATCCAGAGCAAGCATGGTCAAGTATGGATACCTCGAGTTGCGCACAAAATACGGAGGATTACGTGTGACGAATACTTGTATCGCCGATAAGGTGTGCGCGCCGGACTGGAGCCATCACAGCCCTGGCTTGCCTGGTGGTCAAGTTTACTGAGTCGTCGACTGGCTGGTCCTTCCGCTTCGCAGGAGAGACCGCGGGCAGGTGCAGCCCCAGCCCGGCCCCAGGGTCGTTAACCTCAAAGCCTCTCGCTCTCTCTCGCTCTCACACACACCCTCAGACTCTCGCATCTGGAACCGCGACCCCATCCCTCGTTCTGCCGTCTTCCCTTTCACACCAACATCTACACTCGACCCACGACCCCCGAGGCCACATGATTTCTCTACTCCAACCGCCGGTCTTTACTCTACCCTAAGGGTGCCTTCCGTCGCTAATTTAATTCCTCGCATGCAAGCTTTCCGCTTGTTCGGTCTCTTATAATCGTAAGTCGCATGGCTTTGTATTAGAGCGAGGCATATGAGTGATTGTGTGTCCCGGCTTGAACCTTTTTTCCAATTCGTGGCCCATGAGTTATTTACGACTATGCAGGTACGCCCCGAGGCTTTTTCCGCCTTCTCTTCCATCGATCGAATCCAATTATTTCCTTCATCACTTTCGGAGCCGACTTGTTCCTGCATGCTGCCGCGTAAACGTGTAATCGATACGCCTGTCAAGTACTTGTCGCCATCGCTACGATGCACGCAGTTAGTCACTCATAGGCACGCCGCTTGAGCAACGACTACGAAACTTTTCTTTCTTCTTCACACGAATCCATATTGAAGCGAAACCATTTTTATCTACTTCCCTCCTCGCGTGTGCCTCCACGCCCGCTACTGGCTTGATCATCACGCTCCTCGGCCCCCCCTTTGAATCAACCATGGCACCATTGTCGACGGCCACGATGACAACCCCCGGTGTTAATAGCGCCAATGTCAGTTCTCGCAATTCGCCCGCCACCGGATCGTCGGCGACCCAGGCATCGTCAAGACCGAAGCGTAAAGTGAACACGAATGGCTACCATCCCGCCAATTCGCAGATCCCCCTGAGCTCTATGGCCAGCATAGGACTGGATCTCACCTCGGTCGAACGCCGCGGCCAGCCGACGGCGGTGCGCGAGTCTCTTCAGAAAAAGTCACGCCCGCATGGCATATCCGAGGCCCCTACCTACTGTCCGACCGAAGAGGAATGGCGGGATCCCTTGGAGTATATGAAGAAGATAAAGCCAGAGGCCTCACAGTATGGTATATGCAAGATTATTCCGCCAGACTCATGGAACCCTGATTTTGCCATTGACACAGAGGTACGCCGGTCGGACTAATCCTACCCTAACGAATGGCATGTGCCGACTCACAAAACTAACATCACCCATAGAAATTTCATTTTCGAACTCGAAAGCAAGAGCTTAATTCTGTAGAAGGCAGTAAGTTAAAGGCCATGAAATCGATCGCAGAACAATGTTCCTAACCTTTGTAGGCACTCGAGCAAGCCTCACCTATCTTGATGGCCTTTCCAAATTTCACAAACAGCAAGGTAGCAATTTACACCGATTGCCATATGTCGATAAGAAACCACTAGACTTGTACCGCTTGAAAAAGGCCGTTGAATCTCGCGGCGGCTTTGACAAGGTCTGCAAATTGAAGAAATGGGCAGAAATTGGACGAGATTTAGGCTACAGTGGCAAGATTATGTCATCGCTTTCAACTTCCCTGAAAAACTCATATCAGCGGTGGCTCTGCCCGTACGAGGAATACCTACGACTTGCCAAGCCAGGTGTTCATCAGCAGCTAGAACAAGAATACGGAGGACCATTGACGCCCAGCCCGGCGCACACGCCAGCCAAGAAGTCTCATGTGAACACACCATCCAGTGGGAAGGGCGATTCACCAGCCAGACAGGCTTCAGATGTCTTACAGGGCAGTCTAAATGGCTTAAAAAGAGAGACTGACCGCGACCTTCCTATGCTTGATGCCCCCCCACCGGCTCCCACATCTGCTGCGACGGGAGGGTTCAAGGCCATTAATGCCAACGGATTCACTCCAGTGAACGCTGCCTCGAAATCTGCCAATGGTGAGAGCAGAAGCTTCACACCAGATCCCAAGCGACTGAGTAGCCCAGCGGCCTCTGCTAGCAATACACCTGACGCCCGGGGGTCTGGCCTGAATCCGGCTGCTTCAGTTAAACGTCAAGTTGGAGACTCGAGCGACACGGCCAAGAAGGATGTAGACACTGACATGGAAGATGGCGAAAGCAGCAGCAGGCGTAGTAAGCGCCTCAAACGGGAACCCGTACCCACGGTTGCTGGATCTCACATGACACCTTTCCGGCCATCCATTCCACGAATTCCAAAGGCCGAGACCATGGCTCCAGGAGAGAGGTGTGAAAATTGCGGCCGCGGAGAGAGTAACGGAGCTCTTCTCGTCTGCGAATCGTGTGATAATGCTTATCACGGACCCTGTCTGGACCCTCCAGTGAAGCGCAAGCCTGATTCAGAGTGGAATTGCCCGAGGTGTCTCGTAGGCGATGGCCAGTTTGGCTTCGAAGAGGGCGGTCTTTACTCACTGAAACAATTTCAACAAAAAGCAAACGACTTCAAGCAGGGATATTTTGAAAAGAAGATGCCATTCGATCACACGCTTAACTGCCTTCGGCCTGTCACCGAGGAAGATGTTGAAACTGAGTTCTGGCGGCTGGTCGCAGACCTGGAAGAAACCGTGGAAGTGGAATATGGTGCCGATATTCATTGTACGACGCATGGTTCGGGTTTTCCGACCCTTGAGAAGAACCCAAATAACCCATATGCCTCTGATCCATGGAATCTCAACATT